CAACACCGGAGAGAAGGAGCAGCCTAAGCCTTGGCCAGCTTCCTTCCTCCTCATATAGCTCCAGGAGCAACATTGTACTATCGATCATCCAACTACACTCGACATGACTAGGGGTATTATCTCTCCGGAGAGCCCCAAACCTAGGTATGTTCGGCGTCCCGTGCCCGCTCATGCCAACCTCGCCTCTGGAGCCCACCAGCGCCCTCGAGCCTCCTCCTCTCTTTAGCCATCCCTTGGCATCTGCCGTGCGCCCACCACGATATACCTGATAGGAGAATAGAGAATAGGGCACTAGGGTTTCTGGTCACCCCGTTGCTGCCATGCCACCTCCGCCGGCCGAAGCTCACCTCTCTTTCTCCCCGACTCGTCCCTTCTCTCGGAGCTCGCTCCTTGGCCTCCTCCTCGCCCCTTCGATGAGTGACACCGCCGGCTTGGACCACACCACTACCGCTCTTCCCCGCAAAAACCGACCACGCAACTGTTGACCAGGAAGTTCGTCACTAAATTTTAAAACCTTTTAAAATTGTGAGCACATGTTTCTTTTTCATGAGCATTTAAAAACCAGTGCATTTTTTATTTTACAGTTTTTACTATCTTTCTATTTTAGCCGGTCTTTTCAGGAGAAACCCAGAAAGAAAACCAGAGGAAAACCAGTAGTCTCGATCTATGAACTGGGCCAGCCTAGTCGTTGGCTCCTATCCTGTTGCTCGACAACTCGTCACAGCGAGTGTCAAGCAGGAGCTCCGCAATACAGGTTTATTTAGTGTTTGCTATGACTATCACTCATCATAGCAACTAAAACCATAGATGTATTTTACAGAACTCATGGGTATATATATTATGGAATAAATGAAATTTATTTGGAATTAAAGAATATTTTTTCAAAATCCACAAGCATTTTTTAATTTACGAACATTTTTAAAGAAATCGCTGACAACATTTGCAAAAATTCATGAATATTTCCAAATTTAATAATAAGGTGAATATTTTAAAATTTCAAGTATATTTTCAGGATTTCTAAAATTGCAAAAAAAACTCAAATTTGCAAACAGTTTTTTTGTATCACGGACATTTTTAAAATTTTAAAAAGATGAGTTTTTTTTTGTAAAATCACATCTTTTTTTTCCAATATCTAACTGATAATTCTTTTTAAAAAAATCAGTGTAATAAATAAGCCGAAATATAGGCTGGCCCAGGATCTACCGGCCGTGCATTTCCTTTAGTATCCTGCAGACTAGGCGTGTAATAGGTCGATCCTTGGCGCGTGCGTGATTCAGCTATTATGTTAGTCGACCAGGTTGTTGAATAAGTATGCCACATGTGAACATATATGAAACATGCTTACAATGTTGAAAATATCGCGGTCATTTTAACCTGCGGAAGCAATGTATTTGGTTTATATTTTCATATGTGTTCATCCAAATAACTTCCAGCAGTCCCTTTGCCTCCTCTGCCAGCCCAGTAACCAGCATTTGTGCACATGACATGCTGGCACAACTAGCCTCAAATTATTGCATTGCGCTGATATGTACGGATAATGAGCTAAATGAATTCTTGCCCGTTGTCGAGTGTGTTTCTACTATCACTACTTCTTTTTGAGTCGACATTATCACTACTTGTTTTTTTCTTTTGAGGGGGCACTATCACTACTTGTCAGATAATTGATCCGATATTTTTAGGCCCGTCAATAAGTAGACATTAGACCAAAACCCAACTCAACCATCCCAAGGCCAGGCCCTAGGTTCAAAAAAGAGGGCCAGGCCCAGGCAGGTTAATTTGACCAGTTTTTTATTCCTGAGTCGTACGAGAGAGTTCGCAATAACCTACTAGTCCGTACCCGTAGGCTAGGGTAAAACACAAGATTACCAATCGATCGATCTACCAGGATCGAGATCGATCCATGTCTTCCTCCACGGTACGCAAGCGCCCACCTGCCATTACCGCCGCCACCGCCAGCTCCGGGGACGTCTCGCCGTGGACGACCCTGCACGGGGATCTGGTCCGCCTCGTCGGATGGCGGGTGCTCGCCGGGGACCTACTCAACTACGTCCGCTTCCGTGCCGTCTGCACATGTTGTGAGCACATGTTTCTTTTTCATGAGCATTTAAAAACCAGTGCATTTTTTATTTTACAGTTTTTACTATCTTTCTATTTTAGCCGGTCTTTTCAGGAGAAACCCAGAAAGAAAACCAGAGGAAAACCAGTAGTCTCGATCTATGAACTGGGCCAGCCTAGTCGTTGGCTCCTATCCTGTTGCTCGACATCTCGTCACAGCGAGTGTCAAGCAGGAGCTCCGCAATACAGGTTTATTTAGTGTTTGCTATGACTATCACTCATCATAGCAACTAAAACCATAGATGTATTTTACAGAACTCATGGGTATATATATTATGGAATAAATGAAATTTATTTGGAATTAAAGAATATTTTTTCAAAATCCACAAGCATTTTTTAATTTATGAACATTTTTAAAGAAATCGCTGACAACATTTGCAAAAATTCATGAATATTTCCAAATTTAATAATAAGGTGAATATTTTAAAATTTCAAGTATATTTTCAGGATTTCTAAAATTGCAAAAAAAACTCAAATTTGCAAACAGTTTTTTTGTATCACGGACATTTTTAAAATTTTAAAAAGATGAGTTTTTTTTTGTAAAATCACATCTTTTTTTCCAATATCTAACTGATAATTCTTTTTTAAAAAATCAGTGTAATAAATAAGCCGAAATATAGGCTGGCCCAGGATCTACCGGCCGTGCATTTCCTTTAGTATCCTGCAGACTAGGCGTGTAATAGGTCGATCCTTGGCGCGTGCGTGATTCAGCTATTATGTTAGTCGACCAGGTTGTTGAATAAGTATGCCACATGTGAACATATATGAAACATGCTTACAATGTTGAAAATATCGCGGTCATTTTAACCTGCGGAAGCAATGTATTTGGTTTATATTTTCATATGTGTTCCTCCAAATAACTTCCAGCAGTCCCTTTGCCTCCTCTGCCAGCCCAGTAACCAGCATTTGTGCACATGACATGCTGGCACAACTAGCCTCGAATTATTGCATTGCGCTGATATGTACGGATAATGAGCTAAATGAATTCTTGCCCGTTGTCGAGTGTGTTTCTACTATCACTACTTCTTTTTGAGTCGACATTATCACTACTTGTTTTTTTCTTTTGAGGGGGCACTATCACTACTTGTCAGATAATTGATCCGATATTTTTAGGCCCGTCAATAAGTAGACATTAGACCAAAACCCAACTCAACCATCCCAAGGCCAGGCCCTAGGTTCAAAAAAGAGGGCCAGGCCCAGGCAGGTTAATTTGACCAGTTTTTTATTCCTGAGTCGTACGAGAGAGTTCGCAATAACCTACTAGTCCGTACCCGTAGGCTAGGGTAAAACACAAGATTACCAATCGATCGATCTACCAGGATCGAGATCGATCCATGTCTTCCTCCACGGTACGCAAGCGCCCACCTGCCATTACCGCCGCCACCGCCAGCTCCGGGGACGTCTCGCCGTGGACGACCCTGCACGGGGATCTGGTCCGCCTCGTCGGATGGCGGGTGCTCGCCGGGGACCTACTCGACTACGTCCGCTTCCGTGCCGTCTGCACATGTTGTGAGCACATGTTTCTTTTTCATGAGCATTTAAAAACCAGTGCATTTTTTATTTTACAGTTTTTACTATCTTTCTATTTTAGCCGGTCTTTTCAGGAGAAACCCAGAAAGAAAACCAGAGGAAAACCAGTAGTCTCGATCTATGAACTGGGCCAGCCTAGTCGTTGGCTCCTATCCTGTTGCTCGACAACTCGTCACAGCGAGTGTCAAGCAGGAGCTCCGCAATACAGGTTTATTTAGTGTTTGCTATGACTATCACTCATCATAGCAACTAAAACCATAGATGTATTTTACAGAACTCATGGGTATATATATTATGGAATAAATGAAATTTATTTGGAATTAAAGAATATTTTTTCAAAATCCACAAGCATTTTTTAATTTATGAACATTTTTAAAGAAATCGCTGACAACATTTGCAAAAATTCATGAATATTTCCAAATTTAATAATAAGGTGAATATTTTAAAATTTCAAGTATATTTTCAGGATTTCTAAAATTGCAAAAAAAACTCAAATTTGCAAACAGTTTTTTTGTATCACGGACATTTTTAAAATTTTAAAAAGATGAGTTTTTTTTTGTAAAATCACATCTTTTTTTTCCAATATCTAACTGATAATTCTTTTTTAAAAAATCAGTGTAATAAATAAGCCGAAATATAGGCTGGCCGAGGATCTACCGGCCGTGCATTTCCTTTAGTATCCTGCAGACTAGGCGTGTAATAGGTCGATCCTTGGCGCGTGCGTGATTCAGCTATTATGTTAGTCGACCAGGTTGTTGAATAAGTATGCCACATGTGAACATATATGAAACATGCTTACAATGTTGAAAATATCGCGGTCATTTTAACCTGCGGAAGCAATGTATTTGGTTTATATTTTCATATGTGTTCATCCAAATAACTTCCAGCAGTCCCTTTGCCTCCTCTGCCAGCCCAGTAACCAGCATTTGTGCACATGACATGCTGGCACAACTAGCCTCGAATTATTGCATTGCGCTGATATGTACGGATAATGAGCTAAATGAATTCTTGCCCGTTGTCGAGTGTGTTTCTACTATCACTACTTCTTTTTGAGTCGACATTATCACTACTTGTTTTTTTTCTTTTGAGGGGGCACTATCACTACTTGTCAGATAATTGATCCGATATTTTTAGGCCCGTCAATAAGTAGACATTAGACCAAAACCCAACTCAACCATCCCAAGGCCAGGCCCTAGGTTCAAAAAAGAGGGCCAGGCCCAGGCAGGTTAATTTGACCAGTTTTTTATTCCTAAGTCGTACGAGAGAGTTCGCAATAACCTACTAGTCCGTACCCGTAGGCTAGGGTAAAACAAAAGATTACCAATCGATCGATCTACCAGGATCGAGATCGATCCATGTCTTCCTCCACGGTACGCAAGCGCCCACCTGCCATTACCGCCGCCACCGCCAGCTCCGGGGACGTCTCGCCGTGGACGACCCTGCACGGGGATCTGGTCCGCCTCGTCGGATGGCGGGTGCTCGCCGGGGACCTACTCGACTACGTCCGCTTCCGTGCCGTCTGCCCGTACTGGCGGTCCAGCACCGTCTGCCCGCGCGGCCAGGGACTCGTTGATCCGCGGTTTCACCCGCGCCGCTGGATGATGTTGCCCGAGGAGCACGGACTCCATCCCCGTGAAGACGGCAAGAAACGTTTCTTCAACCTGTCCACTGGAGTCTTCGTCCGCCCTCGACTTCCTCTTCTTAGAGACCACTTCGTCCTCTGCCCAGCAGATGGCCTGCTCCTCGTCCTGCGGCCGCGGACATACACCCAGGGCGACCATCCATGCCTCCTCCACCCCTTCACGGGCGACGTTGTGGAGCTCCCGGCAGACATAACTCTCCCAGAAAACTTGAAAAGACGCTTGTTACCGATCAACGTGTTCGCTGCTGTGAGTACAAGTCCAGATGGAGTCCTTGGGGTCATGGTCACGTTTCAGAATACACCATTCATACTCTTTGCTAGCACAAATGACAAGCGGTGGAGTTTATGTGCCTTTCCGGGCTTCCGCCCACACCCACATGCGAGCCCATTATCATTCAAAGGACAACTTTACATGTTGCAGGAGCAGATATCTAGCTTGGAAGTAAATATTCTCCGGTTCGACCCACCTTGGCAAGATCACTCAACGACATTGGGTTTAGCTTCGTCTTCCTTGTTGTCACCCAAGTTGGTTGCCACATGTCCCGCGGATAAGTTCCACTTGCCCGAGCTGGTAGAATGCGACTCCGAGATCCTGGTGGTTGGCAATAAAGAAACTACACATATTCTTATTTACAGATTAGCGGATCTTGCCCAAGGAAAGTTTGTCCCAGTAAAAAGCATCGGAGGAAATGCTCTTTTGATTGATAGTAAAAGGAACCCGAGTTTTAGTTTGTCGGCGGTGCCTACCACCACGGGTGATACCATTGTGCTTGCAGATCGCACCCCTGACAAATATACTTTTCAATACCACCTCAGCAGCGATACCTGGTCATCAAGAGTTGGGGGATGTGCAGAACATGGTTGTAGCATGGAGTGTTGTACTTGTAGCCTCATTGACCATATGTGCAATACCTGTCGATGTGTTTCTAAGTGGTGAGCTACTTGTTGCACCCGCTCAAACTTACTTAGTTCAGACAACTTAGTTGGCATGATAATAATTCCCCTCCTATATATGCATGCAGGGACACACGTGGTGGAATAATCAGTCCGGCCAGGTGGAATAATAATCAGTTCATTGCGAACCATAATGCAGGTCATATCTAGCGGTTAGCATGGGTGGCGATATGCATGGAGCAAGTTCAGTTTGAACTGTAATACCTTCGTTAACCGACTGTTATGCTGTGGCAGATATTCTCTTATCTTCTGCTAGTAAATTGCTCGAGTTATACCTATTTGGAAGTACATACTTCAGTTTTAGCTAGTAGTACAAAATTGTTAATCGTAATTCATTCATCTCATCTCATCTCATAATATTCTGTACCTGAAATTTATTGGTTTGTTCATTCATCTCCTCCTGCTTCAGTTCCTTGTACTCCATCCTTCTTTCCCCTATCTTTACATGCAGTTCTGAAGTCTGATTATTTGGTTCTCAACATTTCAGCACTAGCAGAATCAGAGAAGCCATTCCTTCTAACCACCCCATGAACGAACAAAAAATAGTCTTTTTGGACCATCTATTATTTCAGAGCATTTAGGAATGTTTTTTCATCATGAAAATTTGTACATCTGTAGACTATTTGTTAATGTTTGTTGCAAAAAAAATCAGATTTTTGAATTTTTACAGTTGTTTTGATTTTATGGTTCACGAGGGAGCATTTAAGCTGACGAGCAGAACTAGACGTCCTATTTCACATTTATTTTTCTAGTATCTTGTTTTATTAAGCTGCAGATGGTTCATGTCGTTCATACATATATGGAGGTTCACCATGCCTCGGTTTGGTCTGCACAGGATTCTTAGTGGCCTGCTGCCGGTCCACCTGTGGCCGATCCTTTCTTAATTTGTTGCATTATTATTAATCAGTTACTGCTTGCACAGATAGATACAAGCCCGGGCCAACAGTTGTACAAAGTGTGCGGCCCGCACAGGGCCCATAAATTTGGGGGGCCCAGATTTCTGCAGGCCTAGTATATATTTTGCTGTTCCGCCGGGGCCGTTGGACGCTGGCGTCCGCCGCCGATCCCATCCCACGATGCTCGATCTTTTCTTCTCGGTTATCTAGGGGATCGTAGCACATAAAAGAAAAAAGAAAACATGATCGTTAGACGGGAGTTAGATTAGATCGATCGCAAAACAGCGATCGGGGCGATTCGGCGACAATCGATTGAGTTGGCTACTCGGCTCCGCTTCAGCTATTGGTTGCTGCCTACACGAGGATCGATCTGGGCGATTCCGTGACAACCGCTGCTCCTCGATTGAAAACGGGATCTTCCGATCGATCAGCCATCATGACAGTTCCATCTCCGGGTGCTCTCACCATCCCACGGCCTCCATCCTCTGCGTGCTTCACGGCTTTAAACAGGTAGCATGTCGCCGGTGAGTCCTCCTTTCTAATTAACTTCGATTCCTACTTCTAATTACTAATAATATGTAAGACATTATATTATATACAATTGCAAATATAAGACATTATATTATGTAAGACATTATATTATACTCCTATACAATTGCAAATTTTCTCTGCGAGATATATATATACATTATAATTGCTCGTTAGTTTACTTTTTTTTTCTAGTAAGATAGGGCCCTAATTTTTAGTTTTGCACAGGGCCCCGGATTTTGCCGGCCCGGCCCTGGATACAACTAGTAGTATGAAAATGATTTGCATAACTAGGAGAAGGGTAACTGAAGGTTTTTTTTTCGGGTGGAGGGTAAGTGAAGTTGAATTGCCACTTTGCGACGCGTGATCTGCGAGCCCAGTGATAGTTGCGGCAGCACTTAATAATCCCTAGATAGACACGGCACGGCCGCAGTACTCTTCTTTCCTTTGAGAAATTTGCAGTCCCTAGAGCTTAACAAATTTTCACTTGGCCTTGACAGCTCGCTGTGTATTGATGGATCGAATTATAGATGAACGCGTAGCAAACTCCATCGATCACCGGATAGTAGATGCATAGCATATACTCCCTCCGTTTCTAAATATTTGTCTTTCTAGAGGTTTCAATAAGTGACTACATACGGAGCAAAATGAGTGAATCTACACTCTAAAATATGTCTACATACATCCGTATGTTGAGTCCATTTAAAATACGTAGAAAGACAAATATTTGAGAACGGAGGAAGTAGTATAAGTGCATGCATGCGCTTTCCGATAGCTATACCCACAATTATATTGGCAAATGGCAAGACTTACCAACCAATTGGTACGGCAATGCATACTACTCCCTCCGTTACTATATATAAGTCTTTGTAGGTATTTCACTATGGACCACATACGGATGTATATAGATGCATTTTGTGTGTAGATTCATTCATTTTGCTCTGTATGTGGTTCATAGTGAAATCTCACCAAAGACTTATATTTAGGAACGGAGGGAGTACCTGGCATGTATTGTGAATGCATGTCATTTTCATGCAGACAGATCGACGACCAACTTATTAGAGTGTACCATGCATGCTTCATGCTTCAGCTAGCATGCATATACATAGCTGCATATCTCTCTCTTCCGGTTCCAGCATCCAATCGGCCACCCCAGAGAAGGAAAAGACGCATGCAAATTAAGCTCTTGCAAGCAAGTACAGATCACTGAACAGAATTCAGACACATCGCTCAGGTTAATTATGTGCTTGCTGCTAGTTCTAGAATATACTAGTACACTAGAAGTGTTGGGCGTGCTTTTACTGCGCCGTTGGTGTAGTTGTGTTTCTTAAAAATATTACTCACTCTGTTTCAAATATAAGGTATATTATATATTTTTCCGCAAAAAAAAGGTATATTATTTTTTTAAAGTCAAATATTTTTAAGTTTGATCAAATTTGTAGAGAAATATATCAAAATTGATAATACCAAATCGGTATATTTAGATTCATCATGAAATGAATTTCCATTTTTTGTTTAATATTATGGATGTTGACATTTTTGGCTTTGAACTTGGTCAAAGCTAAAGGAATTTGACTTTCAAAAAAACTAATACCCCTCTTATTTTGGAACTCGTGGAATATTTAGTTTGGCGAGGACGGGAAATGATGTGTGTGTTTCATTTTTTTTATAACTCGATGATTTGGTGGGCCTTTCTCGATGTGATTTTGTGTTATTCGCTAAGAAACCCATATTTATGTGGGGAAGTTTCTATGTCGGTAGCTGCATGTACTATATTGGTGCTATAGTATCACATGGTGATGTTTTTTTAGGTGGTGGAAGGTGAGCGGGATTGATATGTTTTTATAGCTGGTTGCTGATGATTGATTTAAAAAATGCTTGGCTCGATCAAAATCGTAAACCAAATCCATAATTGAATACCTCAATCGAATTGAAGAGCTTCAAAATTAGGGTACAATAGTGAATTAAAATAATTGAATAGGAGAGCTCCTCAAGAAATTATTGACCCAGTCAAAATTAAGTGACTCAATTTTAAATGAAGACCTCAATTAATTATGAGGCCTTAAAAAATTAGAAAGCACAATGTATGTATAGTATAAAAGAATTGGATGAGAGAGATTTGAGAAATTGTTGACCCGATAAAAAACGGGTGATCCAATTTTAATTGAAGGCCTCAATTGATTCTATTCCAAGCCCTTTAAAATTAGTGAGCTTAGTGTTATAGAGGATGCACAATTTTTTTGGTGTTCACGCTTTTTCACTTTTTTGGGGCATCCTTTTTCTTGTTTTTTATTCTATCCATTTTGGATTTTACTAGTTTTTAAATTTTATTTTGAAAAGTCAATACTTTTAAATAGGAAAATATTTCTTTAAAATGCATGAGCTTTTATAAAACCCTTGAACATTTTTTAAGTCTTCAACATTTTTAGTAACCATTAATATTTTGTGTTTATTATCATTTTTTAATATATTTTTACTACAGGAATGCTTTTATAGATTTTTATCAACATTATTTAAATGCACAATTTTTTTTAAAAATGACCATGATATTTGACACGTGTGTGCTAGATAGCAAAATTTACCACATACCTCTTTCTTTCTCCCTAATTACATGCATGATTGCATGCATTCCTTTCTTTAATTATATGCATGTATTAGAGGAGAAAAAGATGATGTCATCCTAGATTCTCCTTATTCCAAAAATTCAAAATATTTTGTAGCTCAAACTGTCTGTCCGACGCAAAGACCATTTTCACACAAGAGATTCGTCGTGACGAAATCTTCGAAAGTAGATCTCATACTGATATGTTTCGATGACTTTTTTCAGGTCAAAAGTTACATGCTTGAGTTACATAAATTACCATGTGTGTGGTATGCAAGTTATCATAAATTACCGGAGGCATCAAAATGGTTCTCTCACTCTTCTCTACATACACATGTATATATGCATTAGAGGAAAAAATGTATATCATCCTAGATTCTCTCTATTCCAAAACTTTAGAATGTTTTGTATCTCAAATTGTTGGTCCGATGCAAAATCTTTTTTCACATAAAAAAATTCCTTGTGGTGAGTTCTTCGAAACTATATCTCATGGTGATATGTTCTCGTGACTTTTACTTTCGGTCAAAAGTTATCATAGATGGGCTACATATGTTATCACGTCTGTGCTATACAAGTTATTGTGGTATTTTCACACAAGTTACCGGGTGTATGTTTTTCAACAACTTTTTACACTCTTTGGTCAAAGTTCCCTCGGTGTTTGTATAAAATTTATCGGTTATGCGGTTTGCATATTTTTTTCACATAACTTACCGGGGCATATTGTTCAACAAAAAAGTTGCCTCCTTGGTCAAAGTTACCGTAGTGTTTGTACATAAGTTATCGGGTGTGCGGTTCGTATATTACTGTGTTATTTTCACATAAGTTATTGGGGGTATATTTTTGAACAATTTTTTCCCTCCTTGGTCAAAGTTATCGCCTGCATGTAAGTTACTGGGTATGTGATTTGTATGTTACCATGATATATTCACATATTACCGCCGGTAAGTTTTTCAACAACTTTTTTTCTTGTAAAAGTTAACACGGTGTCTGTATGTAAGTTAGCGGTTGTGCGGTACTTATATTACCATGTTATTTGCTAGATATTACCAGGGTATGTTTGAAAAACTTTTTCCCCTTGGTCAATATTACCGCGGTACTTATACATAAGTTATGATATTTTCACATATTTTTCATGGGTTTTTTCTACAACTAATTTTTTTTGGGGACAAAGTTCTTAGGTACAAAGACTCAAGATCATAAAATTTGCAATAAAATAGTTGTTTGTTTAGATTTTTGAGAAACATTTGTAACTTTAAAAATACTCATAACATTACAAGTACACTGATTTGGACCTAAGATCCAATAAAATACAAAGTAACTTCTATGACTAAAATTACAATAAAATCTCTTGAAAACGTCTTCTTCGCGGCGTCAATCTCTGCTCGAAGAAATACTCCAAAGACTTCGGTAAAGAGACTGCAATTGCACTGAAGCAACGATGTTGTCACTCTTTTACCTGCACGAACATTACCAATAATGATTTTTGAAAGCGCCTTGAGTTGCCCATCCAAAGAGATGAAAAGCCTGGATCGATGAACGTACTTGGGTTGGGGATGATCCCCTAGATTTGCAGGTCGTCGAATCACTATATCTTCACCATGTTGTCAATGAAAGTTTTCAATTTCCCAAAGAATCAGACCAACAAAAAAGCTTGACACAACAACATAAAAAAATCAGATCTGAATAATCTGATCTGCGAGGACAGAAAACTCTCTAACCTCATGACACTGCCAAAAAAACGAGTGGAAATTTATTCTCACAAAACTATGATAATCAGTAGATGATGGCGAAGAACATAGAGATCTTGAAGATACGAGGTCCCCCCACTTCTCAGCGCCAGGATGACAGCCGGAGGCTAGGGGACCTAAATTTCTCAGATGACGACAGTGATGATACAAGAAACCCTTATTGTTTGTTTATTTTTTTGTGGGGTAATTGTTTGTTTAGTATGGTTGTTGGGCTGAACCAAGGGCCTCATCTGGCCTTCCCACGTGCATAACAAGAAGTCGGTAGAAACTTGAGCCCAAATGCTAGATGACTGTTGTAAAACAATCACCGGGTAGGCGGAAACTTTTACCAACAAAAACGATCAAACGCATGGTGACATCCTGTGTACTAATATGGCTAAGAGATCAAATAGTTTGGTTTCCCAACTCCAACAAAAGCCAAAACGCCGGTGAGTTAGTTGCAGGGTCGAGCTCGCTTCCTAGCTATCGGTGTCATTTTCCATCATTTTTATCCTCTGCTCCGAATAGATGGGAGCGTTAGGTGCCGAAAACCGCGTCCGCCAGATGCGGATCGGACGGAGTTGCATGCGTTCGGTACGTCCACCAAGAAGATGTGGTGTGCCACTTAGATTTCCCATTTCAAAAATATGTCTTCTGAAATTCCACACCATAATTTGTAAGTTAATGAATCTTTAGAATATACTATTTTTAAACAAGAATATATATCTAGATCGAACATTTATAATAAATTGACCACCTTTTAAATTTGTTGAATATTTTTAAACTTTATAAATATTTTTAAAATTTAGTGATAAAATTCTACTCTTTTGTATTTTATTTCATTTATCTAAACCGAATATAAATTTTTTGCATCTAAAAGAAAAAATACAATAGATTCTGACATAAAAATGGGCCCGGACCAATTTTAGTCCACGGATACCGGTCCTGGGATTTTGGCCAGCCCAGCACAGCGCCGCATCCGCGTTTACTCGCTATCCCGTGCCTTATGTTACAGGATAGGAGCTCTACTTTCTAAGCTTGAACATTTTTGCAGGAAATCTGTGTGCAAAAATATAAAATAAAGAGAAAACCTAAGAAAAAGGCCAATGCAATAACAGTGAAAAAACCTATTAAAAAACACAGGGAAAAAACTTGTGGGCGCTCAATTATTGTGCTGGCCCAAAATAGTCGGCTGCAGGCGAGCTGTAATAAAATCAGTACTGGCGATGTATAGCCTCTGCAATAGTTGCTCAATAAAAAATGGTATCTGGGATTTTGGCTAGCCCAGCACAGCGCCGCATCCGCGTTTACTCCCTATCCCACGCCTTATGCTACATGATAGGAGCTCTACTTTCAAAGCTTGAACATTTTTATTTTGTCAAAACAAGCAAACCCTCAAAACAAATGTGAACGAAGAAGTAGGGACGTTGTAGTTGTACTTCTGTTCGACAGGTCTGGAACTTGGGAGATCGCCTTAATTAGGGCTATGATTGCTGTTAATTTTTTTCCAACGAGGCATCCCGCGTATGATCGCCGTTATAAAGTTAGCTCGGATGTTCTGATTTTCCTTGTTTCCGCCGGTGCTCTGCTTTTGCCTTAATGGAGAAGGCGCAACGCCCAGGAACTCAGAAATGAAGATCATCAAGCCATTTCTACCGTGCGGCACCACTTTGACGATATCCTGCCCTTGTGGTAATCCTTGCCCAAAGAACAGTAGTAGAGTACATCGGACCTCAACACTCAGCAGAGATTAGCACCATGGATAATGCACCGCGAGAGACAGCAGCAGCCACAGAACGGGAAGCCACACACGGAGATCCAGAGCGGAGCCCTGCATCTGCTGCTTGATTTTGGGTTTCCAGTGTGATGATTTGCTCAAGAGAATACAAACATCAGAGGAGCATTATGATCCAAATTCCTTGAAATTCTTGTGGTGCACATCGATGTTGTATCGTGTCGGCAGGAAGGCCACAGGCCAAAAGCTTTCTGGCCATGCTGCATAATGCAGAGATACAGAACAGCACAATCAGACACTCTTCCAGGAGCCAGAACTTCTCTCTCGCTCAGCAGCCAACAATCTCAGAAAACAAATGAGCCAGTTCACACAAGTTACATGTAAATTTCCTCTTGCTTTCTTCCATTACGCATCATCTAATCAATCCATACTATATCGACAGCAGCTGCTGCATCAGCCAGTGGATGACACACAAGTAAGAACAGAGAAAGATGGCAAAAATTATCAGTCTATTTCCCGTGGATTACATGATGATATGATGATGATGAACTTATTCACATTATCACATAAGGCAGAGTATCAGATATTCAGAACTTGAGTGGTAGTAAAACAGAGACCAAAAATCCAATTCTATCGAGATAGTAGAAGCAATTCGCAGTAGGCAGCCGCGCCGCCGCGTTAGTCCGGGAGCAGGAAGGGGAGGAGGTGACGCATCCGAAGCAGGCGGGAGGCCGATCAGAGGCGGAGCAGCGTGTCGCAGCGCCAGTCCATCTCGTCGGCGGCGGCCGCGGGGTCCGGCAGGTTCAGATCGAAGGGCAGCGAGGACGAGGAGGGGCGCGGCGGCGCTGCAGCCTCGTCTGCGGCGGCGGCGCCCCCCGACGCGCCGTCCTCGCACACCGCGGACGAGGAGGAGCCGCAGTAGCTGCGGCAGTCCTCCTCGACGGCCGGGGCGCCGATCGCGGCTGCGGCGGCGGCGCGGAAGAGGACGCTGGTGGCCGGGACGCCGCCGCTCCAGGACTCGATCGTGCTGCTGTGGCTAGATGTGGCCGCCGCGGCCATCGTCGCCGGCGCGGCGACGGGGGCGGGGGGCGCCGCGCGCGGCGGCGCCGCGGCGGGGGAGGCGGGGAAGTTGGTGCGCGCGGCGGCGCCGCGGAGGTTCCTGGCGGCGGCGTCGTAGGCGCGCGCGGCGGCCTCGGCGGAGTCGAAGGTGCCGAGCCAGATCGGGGTCTTCTTCGCCGGGTCGCGGATCTCGGCCGCGTACCGGCCCGACGGGCGCCGCCGCACCCCGCGGTACCTCACCTCCTCGCCCTCCAGCCCCGGCCCCGGCGGCGGCCTCGCGCGCCGCATCGCGTCGCCTCGCCTCCCTCGGCGCCCCTCTCGCTCGCCTCGTCTGGTGTGGTCTCTCTCGTCTCGCGCTCGCTCGGCCTTCCCTCGGCGACTCCACCGTGCGCGCCTTGTTTGTGTGTTTGGTCGGCAGCGGGCTGGCCGGCTGACGCGGCGGGCCCGCCCACGACCGGGCGTCGCGTCGGTTTGTTTATGATTATTATTCCATTCCAATCGACCGCGTCCACGTCCCCGTCCTCGGGTCGGGTGAGGTTGAGGTTGGGGTCGGGTCGTCACCTCCCCCTCCCCGCACCGCGTTCCCGTCCGGCGTCAGCGCGACGCGTACCCCCTCTCCCGGCCGCTGGTAGACTAACCGTCTGTCTGGTGCACAGATTTTTTTCCCTTTCTGTGATGGACGGATGGGTGCGGAATCGCGGTGGTGGGCACGGTCGGCAGTAGCGCCGTCGGCCACTAGCGGGGCATATTCGCCGACGCTGCCGCCTGGCCTGCCGGTGCGTGCCGTGCGGTCGATCTTTGGTTGCGCCGTTTATTTTATTTATTATATCACTATATTATATATTACGGGACGCGATTTTAAGCGCACGATTCGTGGATGAGATTGTTGGGAGCCGACACAGCGACACATGGTAGCAGGCGGGTAGCGTCTGCTCTGCTGCCACACATGGAATTCTTCAGAAAATGTTTCTTCCTTCTAAACTTCATTTCTGCAATTTTGAAACTGGCCAATCCATGCATGTTTCTGCCAAAATTGCCGGAAAAAACACAAGTCCTACTATAGTGCCTATTCATCTTGAATTTTCCCACCAGGTATCTATTCCGAACAGTGGTCAAAGATGCATAGGCTACGGCAGTACAGCACTGAAGACAAAAGGAAAGAGCCGACGCATCTCTGAACATTGTGTTACACGTTTATCACTTTTCCCACACAAGGGCAGGCATAACCTTGCACATGCCATGGGTCTCTCACGCTTGCCTACTTCCATCATGAGTCATGGCAGACGAACAACACTTGCGGAATAAGTTGCGACTGACGAGAGGTCAGCAACAAGTTCACTGGTAAGGGTTGCTGAAGTTCTTGAGGAGGTCCGGGATGTCGTGCGCGAGCATGTCGTCCACGGCCTGCACCATCTTGGGCTTCATCTTCTCGAACTTGTCGATGCTGTACCCGGACAGCACCTGCTTGAAGTGCTCCACGTCGGGGAAGTCGCCCGCCGGAAGGTGGTACTCCCTCTGGACCTGTTTCCAATACATCTCAGGCGTCAATGGAGCGGGCACATTGTGCAGAAAGGAGGCAGTTATGGATTAAGATGCAAGCAAATGAACACCATGTATTTGAAATTCATTTGGTTTCACTTTGCGGTGGAGGAAGGTATTCATCATGTATCTGAAATTCATCATGCAAATTCATTGTTTTGCATGTTAATACCTTTGCAAACTCATCTTGCAAGTTGTCAATGAGTCGCTGTTGAGCCTTGGCTTTCCCCATCATTGCAGGCATCTCCTTCTTCAGCTGGCCAATTATGTAAGCATGGATCTTCGCAGCTCTAGCACGCTTCACAAACTCATTGACCTACGCATGGAAATGGCAAGCCAGTCATATTGAAATTCTGCAGTCCATATAAGGATTCCATACATAATTAAGTATGATACATTATTACTTACCCGGCGATCACAAGCCTTCTTAGGTATGTCTTTCAGGTCAGCAAGGAGATCCTCTTGCTCTTTCTCAAACAATTCCTTTCCAATTGGCCCAACAGCTGATTCATTCACAGGTTTGTCATTGAACGACCTGCAAATATTAGCTTCAACATGAGTTTCAGGTTACGATACAAAAACATGAAGACACCAGTCCTGCACCTGGTGCTGGATTCACACTACATTTTGGTCTTCAAAAATATGCAGACTTTTTTTTCTTTGATAGTATACTAGAGCTGTACAACCTTCAATCTCCAGAAGTAAAGATTACTAAAGCATTACAGCATTACAGAGAAGAGGACTATTACCCAATGTAGACACGCATAACCTCAGGGGTGTTTAGAACTTTCCCAAGAGACCACATCAGCGCACCGTACACTCTCATAAGCTGCAGCACACATAAGGGAAAATTTTGGTTTCATATAATCATGTGTGCCAGGTTACACCTAGGGAAAAAAATAGCAGGAACATACAAGTAGATTGCAAGAAAAACATATACCTGCTGAGTGTCAACTTGATCTGCCTTGTTCAGCACCACACGTATTTTGTCTTCATTCCCACGTAAAGAAGAAATGACACGCTTGAATTCATCACTGATATCGAGCTTGTGAGGATCAAACAATAGAAGAATAACATCGCACTTTGCAGCAAACCATGAAGTTACACCAGTGAAATCATAACTACGCTGGGTCCTTTGCTTTTCACCAGAGAGAACACCAGGAGTGTCGACAAAGGTGATATGATCCAGTAGCTTCAAAAAACAAGGCAGCTATCAGTGTCTGAAATGACTGTTTCACATGTATTAGTATCTCAATTAATGCTTACAGGATGTGGCATCTGAGAGCATTCAAACTTTGATAGGAATGCACCCCCAAATGTCGTGAGACCATTGAAAGGCATATCGGCTTGGACTGCAATTGTATTGCCAGGAACAGTCCTTTCATCAGATCCTGACTGACGTGGGGAAAAAATATGAGAGATCAATGGGATAAATACGAGTACATTAACAATAGAAGCAAATAGGGAATGCAAATTGATAAGATTTTTATGTCAAATGTCAGCCACAAATCCTGTCTCAAAAAAAGTGCACAAATATTTTACACGTGTGCATTAAAACTCTAGCCACTAAAGGAATATTTTAATGAAAAGTGGGATAAACAAAACAGCAGTTGTCTTCTGTGTCCCATTGTATTTCAGCAAACTAAGAACACAACACCATCGTGATAAAGAAACTTCTCAAACTCCTGGGTTATTACCAAGTTATGTGTTTATTAACAGCTCTCATCAATTCATGCTTTTGCTGACATAGAAACAAAAGCAACTATTAAATCCTCACATCATGCTACAAAATTGATGAAGCTGGGCAGAACAGACACTACTGTCATTGGTCCATATCTGTATGCCATCTTTGTTTCTTACAAAAGAAAGAGCTGATGTTTTCAACATCAACATAAATAATTCAGTTAACACTGAAAAGCAAGCATTCCGAGTAAATATGCTCAAGCAATAATTATCTGAAAAATCTCTTATCCTTGCTGCATGTACATAAATATTCATGCAACACTTACCATCACAACCACAAATCTGTCAGTAGTGGGCTCTGGTCCGATATGAGCTCCTGCATTTCGAAAGGCCAATTAGAGTTGCAGTCCGATGTTATAGAGAAACGTACCACCAAAATAGATGGCGTGGCCAAAAATGAAACTCAGGTTTTCTGTATTAAATAAAGCCCCAAACCTGGGAAGTTTGTTTTCAACAGGTGCTTAATGAATGTTGTTTTCCCTGTAGAATATTGACCTAAGAGCATAACCATTGGCTTCGCATCGAAGTCGCTGTTCGTCTGAAATATGGAAGAATAAATGCAATGACATGAAAGTACCGACTCAATAACACACTTGGGATGAAAGAAGATGGGGTCGAGAACATTGTGATCTGTAAATCATAACGAAACTAGGGTTTTAAACAGAAGTCTGTACCAGCAATGGAGAGGCAAAATCATTGAACCGGTATGCAACTTCTAAAGGCTTCAGTTTTTCGATGTACAGTCTTTTCAAGCCATCAATTACAGAAGTAACAGCAGTCAGAGGCGTTTGAATCTACAAAGCACCAAAGAAAAGACTGCTGTGAATACATGCTCTAATTGGCAAAGTCAGCTTCGATGATTCAATAAGTTACAGTGGTTTAGTTAATAACAAAGAGAGAAAATTAATATGTGCTGCAATGACAAAGTTACTGAAAATGGAAAGATTGCACATGAGTAGAGTACCTTCTTTGCTGATTTGGAACTGAACCAGCTGTTTGTAGAAGGTGCTTGCACCTGAGGGGTGCCTGAACAGAACAGAAATGATTAGCATCATACAGGACTTTATTATCATGATTTACCATGGGAAAAGGGGGCAGACTGATTACCATTTTCTTGTGGGCGAACTACATTCACAATAGCCATTGATCTCTAAAAAAGAAATACCCATTACAAAATACCATGTTAGTGTGAGAGGCTATAAATGCAATTGAATGACACAGGATAAGCTGCACATCTAATAAACTTACAGCAAGCAGCTCATCAAGACCTTTCATCACAGGAGGATCGAAGCTACTCAGATCTGAGAAAACAACCACAAGCAATCCAGCTCAAATATCAGACACAGATGAACTCGGCAGAAATAAAAACAGATGAGGCGCAGTCACAGCCCACATCATAACAAGGTGCCACCAACCTTCACGCTTGAGACTGTCCTGGGTGATCTCATTCCCCGCTTGAGCCAGAGATACGAGCTGCAGATTGCAACAGACGAAACCATCAACACCACACAGCCACATCTCCTACTACCAGCAGCACAGACTAGCGAACTAGCGCCTAAACGGAGAGGGCAAAAGTGGGCAAACCTGCATCGCGGCCGCGAACTCGCCGAAGCCGAGGTAACCCTGCCGCTTGGAGTCAGCAATCGCCCAAACCTTGAATCGATCGACAACGGACTAGTTAGACTCCCATTCACCAGCGGCAACTCGAGTTATCGGCGGCCGGTTCACTCACCTGCTTGAGGTCGGCGCGGGAGAGGCCGGACATGGCGAAGAACTTGGTGGCGTCGGCGCCCGTGACGCGCCCGTCTCCATCTGCAGGGACAGCCGGGGACGCCGCCCCAGGAGAATCAGCAAAGCGTCGGCCATCCCCTCCCAATCCTTAGATTTGGGGGGCGCTGGTGGTGGGAACCGCGAAGGTTGCGAGAGCACGCACCTGGGTCGGCGATGGCGAACCAGTCGGCGTAGATCCTCTGGTGCTCCTTGGAGCAGCCCACGGCGGCGGCGGACCGCGCGATCTCCATCCACGGTTTCCCTCCTCGCGTCGGCGGCGGCGGCGGCTGACGCGAGCAGCAGCGGCAGCAGGAGTGGACAAACGGAAACCTCACAGGGTGCGTGTGCTCG